CACACACACACACACACCTCATTCACGCATTCACACACATATACACACACACACACCTCTCATTCACGCATTCGCACACATACACACACACACACACACACACAGCAACAAACAAGCTAAACACAGCATCGCGCTATTTCATTTACACACATGCATACGCGTGCTCACTCGGGAGTCGGGAGTGATATTGCTAGACAGCCCGCTCCCGTCCCAAATTAAACACGTTACCAACCGCTCCCGCGAGTTATTCGGAAATAAATTCCCGCGCTGCAGAAATCTGGTCGGGAACGCAGACCTCTATTAGGAGGTGTGCTGAAGGTGCAGCTGTGGTGCAGTGAGGGGTTTGCGTCTTTAATAATCTACCACAGTTTGTGTTCATTAAACAGTAAGAGTGATTCATTAATCCATATCAAACAGGCCCTTAAAGTCACGTCGGGCTCAGGGACCCTCTGCACTCACACTACAAGTGAACCGCGCTCAGGCACACCTCTGCCAACCGCACCGGAGCCCGATTCAGAGCACTCACACTTCTCAAACGATCCAGGAAACGGGCCTGGACACGGTTGGGATAGCATAGTGTGAGTACACCCTAATCCACAATTAAACTTCAGCTAAATCTGATGGGTGGCATATTGGGTCATCAAAATGTGCGGCCTACTTTTTGAATGGGAGCACAGTCTGACAGAACACCGGCTCTCCGTCTTCCCTGCGTTATAGTTTATATGCACTCAATCTGCGAGCGAACTTCCTACAAGATACAGCTGAAGTCAGAATCACTCGTCCTCCTGTTAAATTAAATTCATCGGCTTAGTCCCTTTATTAATCTGGGGTCGCCACAGCGGAGTGAACCGCCAACTTATCCAGCACATCTTTACGCAGCGGATGCCCTTCCAGCCGCAACCCATCTCTGGGAAACATCCACACGCACACTCATACACTATGGACAGTTTAGCCTACCCAATTCACCTGTACCCCCTCACATATTTCATCCTGCACGTGCCCCTTGGATAGTCTCTGCCGGGGGTGGGTATTTATATAGTGCATGTATCGTGGGTGTGTGGCCATACACCCAAAGCGCTTCACAATCATGAAGGAGGTCTCTCCACACCACCACCAGTGTGCAGCTAAACTTGGACGATGCGACAGCAGCCACAGGACAACAGCGCCAGTGCTTCACCACACACCAGCTATAAGTGGAGTGGAGAGACAGTGATGGAGCCAATTTGGTGGATGGGGATGATTGGGAGGCCATGATGGAGGGGGTTTGGCCAGGACACAGTGGTTACTCCCCTACGTTTTACCAGAAGTGCCATGGGGTTATTAATAAGCACAGAGAATCAGGACCTCAGTTTAACAGAAAGACCCTTCACTATACTGGGGCATTAGAAATCACACAGACCGCATGTTAAGCGCCCCCTGCTGGCCTCACTGCCAACAGCAGCCTAGTTTTCTCATGTGGTCTCCCATCCAGACACTGTCCAGGCTCAGCCCTGCTTAGCTTCAGTGAGGGAGCGCTCTTGGCCTGCTGGTTGATAACCAAAGTTCACAGGACTGTGTTCTCTGGAATCCTCCCAAATGGTGGCCGTTGACCACATCAAAGCTCATTACCAATAAGTTGACTTAATTTCAACTCTCCTCGATGCCCACACCGGCGAAGACGCACGCTCCCATTGAAAATGAATGACTTCCGGTGACTTTGACGCTCTCACCACTGTCCGCGTAAACGCACAGTAATAATATTGAGCTTAAAATGGGTTTAAAACATTAGGAACTGCTTTTATTCTAGCCGAAATAAAACAAGACTTTCTCCAGCAGAACAAATATTAGAGGAAATACTGTGAACACTGCCTGAATCTGTTCAACATAATTTGGGAAACATTTAAAAAAGAAAACGTACATGATTCTGACTTCACCTGTATTAAAGGCTCGACGCTTCAGACAATAAGGACCACTAAAGACGTTTAAGCAAAAAGACCTGAAAATGTAAAAACTGTGGAGTGTGAAACGTGAAATATTGAGTAGTACAGACGTAACATCTGGGCTCCGAACATCACGAATAAACAAAAATCACCAAGAACATGTCAATAAAACTGAACAGAAAATAAGAGCTTTTTTCATATTATTCTTATTAAAAGCTAAAAAAAAGTCCACTCTCTCGCCTCTCAGTTCCCTCATTTGCATTGTGGGTGTGGCTGAGGAGTGTCGTGGCCAATCACAGCGTGTGGGGGCGTGTCCTGAGTGGTTGATTGGCGGCTGCTGCTGCTGTAGTGGAGCTGATCAGGCCTCAGTTTGTGTGTTTGGAGGCTCTAGAAGGACGTTTCCACACCGCTGTCACAAACACCGCTTTCCTCAGGACCCAGAGCCTGCAGAGCTTTACACACACCCGCACCTGTGTGGAGGAACAAAACAATCAACATTGCTTACATCACTTCATTTAATTCACAACAAGGGGCTGTGTACTTTAATCAACATTCGCTAAACTAACCTAAGGATTACCGTACATAGGTGGCCGCTTCACTAGATGTTAAAAACCTTTATCATGTTATAATGACTGTTTAAGGTGCAGTGTGTAAGTCTGACCCCCAGTGGTTGAACTAGGTATTGCACCCCTGGATCAAAACACATTTTCTCTCAGCTCCTCCTCTGAAGGGTCTACGCAAGCATAGGTTGCCAGATTGACATGAGTGTGCCTGACTATCGAGCCTAAAGGATGATTTAAGCCTGATATGAATTATTTTCTAAATAAAAGCAACAGAACTAGTGTTCAGTGCAGGTCATGTGTGCTTCAGCGTGAGTGTGTGTTCATGCTTCTGTCAGTCTATGTCGCTCCTGTCGCTGTTCATCTAAAACTCCACATCTCTTAGTCTATGCTGACGTTATCTTCAGCAGCTCTAATGGCTAATGGACAGACGGCTGCTTCTCACTCAGGACTGCTGTTTATGCTAATGAGATGGAGAGACGAGCACTAGTGGGCGGGGCTTTCCCCCTCTGATGACACGTACAAAGGGAGAATGTCAATCAAAGTGTTTCTGCATCAAGTCTGATTAGAACAAACACACATTGTATTGTACATAAATCATATAAAGACTTGCGTATTAGTCAATAATATTAATTTAATATAAATCCTGATAAATACCCAAGTAAATAAATAAACTCACTGATAGACGCAAATTCCGTTTGGGCCGACACATTGGCATCACATTCATACTGATTTGCACAACACGCCACAACAATACAGACGACCACGAGAAGGAAACCGAAGACAGAAAAAAAAAAAAAACAGAGAAACTTTCCCCTGCTCACTCGACCCTGACGTTGACAACAAATCAGGCAGTAAAGTGGAAATACTGGTTTCAAAGAAACTGTTCTCGAAAGACCAGAAGGCCATATCACTTTCACTTCTGCTGCTGGGATTCCCCCTGTCCAGTGTCTGCTTCCCCTGAAACCCGCAGTGAGCATTAGTGTGTGTGCGCACCTGTTCACCAGAGGGCCCCGGGGCTCCCTCAGAAATCAACAGATACGTGGGTCTGTTCAGCAGAGGGCCCCGGGATTCCCTCAGAAAACACCAGAGATGTGTGTCTATTCACCAGAGGGCCCTGGGACTCCCTCAGTGAGCATTGGTGTACGTGCCTGTTCCCAAAGGGCCCGTGACTACCTCAGAAAACACCAGAAATGTGTGCCTGTTCACCAGAACACCCGAGAACTTCCTCACTGAGCATAAGTGTGCTTGCCCTTTTACTAGAGGGCCCCGGTACTCCCTCAGTGAGCATAAGTGTGGATGCCTGTTCACCAGAGGGTCCCTGTACTCCCTCAGTAAGCATAAGTGTGGATGCCTGTTCACCAGTGGGTCCCTGTACTCCCTCAGTAAGCATAAGTGTGGATGCCTGTTCACCAGAGGGTCCCTGTACTCCCTCAGTAAGCATAAGTGTGGATGCCTGTTCACCAGAGGGTCCCTGTACTCCCTCAGTAAGCATAAGTGTGGATGCCTGTTCACCAGTGGGTCCCTGTACTCCCTCAGTGAGCACAAGTGTGTGTGCCCATTCACCAGAGGGCCCTGGTACTCTCTCAGTAAGCATAAGTGTGGATGCCTGTTCACCAGTGGGTCCCGGGACTCCCTCAGTGAGCACAAGTGTGTGTGCCCATTCACCAGAGGGCCCTGGTACTCTCTCAGTGAGCATAAGTGTGGATGCCTGTTCACCAGAGGGTCCCTGTACTCCCTCAGTAAGCATAAGTGTGGATGCCTGTTCACCAGTGGGTCCCTGTACTCCCTCAGTGAGCACAAGTGTGTGTGCCCATTCACCAGAGGGCCCTGGTACTCTCTCAGTGAGCATAAGTTTGGATGCCTGTTCACCAGAGCGCCCCGGGACTCCCTCAGTGACCATAAGTGTGTGTGTGCCCGTTCACCAAAAGGCCCCGGGACTCTGTCAGACAACAACAGAAATGTGTGCCTGTTCACCAGAAGGCCCCAGTACTCCTTCAGAAACAAAAGAAATGAGTGCCCATTCACCAGTGGGCCCCGGGACTCCCGAAGAAATCAACAGGAATGTGTGTCTGTCCACCAGTGGGTCCTGCGTGTTTTTAGATCTCATGTCAAGTTTAAAGATCTTTAGCCTTCCCTAATGCAGCTCATCCCTGTCAGTCACATAGCAGTGGGCCAATCAAAAGAGCCCGGAGGCGGGGCAATCATTGCAAGTCTCTGTATGTAACAGAAAGTGGGCATGACAACTGTTTCATGGATGAGGTGGGGCTCATTGGGTCTGTGTTTAAATATAAATATGAGTTATATGATGTGCTTATCATAGCATATTGTTATCATTTCTAATGAGTTCGTTATTGTGGTTATACGCTGTGTTCATAATATTGCATTCAATAAACAAAGATGCCTTCAGTGTGAATGAGCGCTTAGACTCCACAGTGACAGACTTAAGCCTGGTTTATACTTCTGCGTCAAGTGACCGGCGTAACCCACGGCGCAGGCAACGCGCGTGGCTGTGCATTTATACTTTTGCGCGCTGTCTCTGTCGGTCTGCATTAACACTTCCGAAACGCTAGTTGGCAGTGAGGTGTAAATGTTCCTCTGTGTCGAGTTTCTTCACTGTTGTTTTGCTTTTCCTGAACACTTCCGGGATGTACAAGTGGCTCAAACTCGCTCATTTTGAGGCAGGAACCGGCGGACGTGCAACAACTTTAACTATGAGGTAAACACAAAACAAAACTTTCCATCCGGAGCTCCTTCATGGGACTCCACACTTGTAAACAATCGCTCGCGCCATTCGCGCAGCTCTCGGTCCCGCCCAGACTCGTCAGCGCTGCCAAGCCAACCAATCACAGAGGTTGCGCTACGCGTTGTTGCAACGTGTAGTTAAATTTTTTGAGAGGTGCACGTCAGTGACGGCGATGGCCACGGCGAAGGGCTATGCGTCAGAGCCATAGCATACGCCGGCGTTTAACGCAGAAGTAAAAATCAGCTTTTAGACTCAAAGTGATTCAGACATCTTCTGAAACTGTATTCACATCGAAATGTTTATTGCAGAATAAATAAATAGTTGGTGGTTCATTCTGCTGTGAAGACCCCTGATAAACAGGGGATTAAGCTGAAGAAAGCTGAAAGAATGAGCGTTAAACAAGTCTTGGGAAAAGGGTCTATAAATGTTGTACTGTTATATATTGGCCAGCACTCCCAGAGGGCCCCGGGACTCCCTCAGTGACATCATCATCATCATCATCATGATTACACTACTGCTGAAAACAGGAGTCACAGTGATGTCATCTGGGGCTTTTACAAACCAAGACTGCGGCACAGAAAAACTCCCTGAACTCAAACACACAGCGACCATGTGCTGATGAGGGAAACTCTGAACAGGCCTCAGACGTGAGCTGACTACACATGTTTATATGAGACAAACTTTCGAGGATTATCTTCTGGTCTATAAGAAAGAGAGGGGTCTGGCTGCAGACGTGGTCCAGTGCAATCTGGGCTGCATCCAATGCTTTTTATTGGGCTCACCTAACCCTACCCCTAACCCTAACCCTACCCGTCACAGTGACGTCACTCACTCCATTTGAGTGCACTGTGTCTGACATTGCATCGCTGAGTGATGCAGTCTCAGCTTGCATCATAGAGGCTGCATCCAGATACTATTGACAAGAAAACTTGGCCACACTTTGCACTCAGGTTTCATCAGTTAAATGTTAGCTAATGCATTTATAATAATGAACAACACTTGTAAAGCATTCATTAACATTTACTAATGCCTGATTAAAATCCAGTCATGCTTGTTAACATTAGTTAATGCACCAGGAGTTAACATGAACTAACATTGAACGTCTGTGTTTTCATTGACTGACATGAACAAATTCTGTAATCAGTGTACCGTTCAATGTTTGTACTTTAGTAAACGCATTATCAACTAATGCAACCTTATTGTAAACAAGTCTTTAATTTAATCTTACTTTTGGTGAATTAATAAACAAAGCTTTATTATTATCATTATGTTAATAGCTCCAGAACTGTCTTGAGCATCCGTCTGCGCTCCTGTCCCGAGAGCAAGAGCAAACAATGAAGCATTGTCGGACTGACAAGCAGCACCTAATCATGTTCAAAAGAATTGAAAACGCCATATGTGGCGAATGTATACCCCGTTTTCAAAGTAAAACCTACTCTAATAGGAAGTGTAATCTACACAACATTAAGTGCAGTGTGTAATACCCCCTCTGAGTCACAATAAACCAATATATACTGAGTTATTCAGTTATTAGAACAGTACACTGAAATCAGATTTGAGAAGCGGTAAATACTGCACATGCGTGATTCAGTAAACCAAACACAAACAGCACGACAGCCTGCTGTGACTGAACTAAACTTGAACAACTGGAGCACGAATAAACAAAGGGCTTAAATAAGAGGATCTAGCCAAACATACGTTTATTTCATAACAACTTCAGTGCATCATTAGATGGAAACGCTGCTGCATTCTCTAATGTTTAACTCACAAGGCAGGCGTTGCTGAATTGCAACTGTTAAAAATTAACTACCTCATTACTCCAGATACATATTTTATGAGTTTTTTTTTTTTACGCAGACACACCACTGCAGGACTTGGTTGTCCATTAGCAACAAACAGTTTCCCCACTTGCTCACCAGATGTCACACACAAAAAAAGTTTCTTGGAGTACCCATAGACTGTAATAATATGAATATATATATAATATTTGGATGTAGTATCCGTGACGTCACCCATGGGTTTCTAAAGAGCGCAAAAGAAGCCACAAGTAGGCGCGGCCAACCGTCGCCATTTTGTTCGCGCGTCATCACACCCACGGCGGGATACCAAACAAGGGCAAAGAGGCGGAGAGTGAGCGGAGCTACAGACACCTGCTGGCATTTAGCTTGGACCTGGCTCAGACACCTGGTTTACTTTGGGAGAAATGCTTAATACTTTATCACCTGTGACTCTTTTGTATTCTGAACACTTGTGCTTGGCTGTACACAATATAAATAAAGTGTTTAGACTTTTAAAAACACTGCTGTAACACATTGAGCCAATAAACATTGTTCTTATGATGTTTTTCAACTGGAGGAAAACGCAAATTACTTCCAAACACTTCAGATATAGTCTGTGTTAGTTAATGTAAGACTATTAATGAAATCCAGCATAACACTGTATGACAACACTTCAGATGACTGTTCTAGAGCCCACAGCTAATCAATCTGACAGATTCTGGAGTGCATTACAGCTCTAAATATAAATATGAATGATAAATTATCTTAAATAAAACAAATACATGTATAGAGATGGTATATAAGTAAATAACTTTACTCACATGGGAAACGGAGGCCACGTGAATGGTTTGTGAGCACAATTAAGTGCACTCAGCATGCCATGCCATCTAATAATTGTAAGAAACAAGTCCAAAAGGCAGTCGACTGTGTAAAGCCACATAAAACAACACAGAAATATGATAAATATGCCGAGTTCAGTGGCTAATCTGCAGGATTCAGCTGAGGTGACGTGACGGCGACCAACAAGACCTAGCTGTCACTCAAGTGGCCACTCCCTTAATTATGCAAACTTAATATAACTTAATATTAAGGAAACAGATGAGTTATAAAAAAATGCACCCCCCTCACAGTTGTCATGAAGGGTAATATTAGCTGTATTAACCAAAATCTATTTTTGTAGCAGGCTGTAAACACCTTTTTTCTGCTGTAAAGTTGGCCATTCTAACAGTGGGCTCAATTGAAATTTGCTCTGTTTTGGAGTCAGGAGCGGCCAGGACTAGCGGAATTTCGGATGAACTGCAGTTTTAGTTACTTCCGTATTGGCTTCCTGAGGGAGAGCGGGAGGTTGCCGCTTGGGAGTACCACATGACAAAGTGACTTGGAAACATGACCTACTTAACGAGGATTTGAGATATTGGATTTGGATCTCATGTTGTTTTTGCTGTTGATCTGCCACTGATAATCTATTTGTTACATTGTTTGAAAAGTTGTATATAAAAATTAATTGTTCATATCATATTCAGTCTTCAGTGTCTAATTACCACACTGGGCCAATGTTAAAAATCTGCAACACCCCAGAAGGCCTTGCATGTGAAGGTCTCTCTACAAAAAAAAAAAAGAGTCAGGGTTCTATTGTACTACCCCATATGATCATTTTCCCCAAATATCAGATTTTTCCTGTTTCTAAAAATGTATTTGAGCCTGAGAGGGTTAAAGAGCCCCTATTGTGGGTTTTTGAAAATGAGCTTCTATGTAGTGTAACACAGATCTAAGTGAAGTGAAATATCCAGCTAAGGCTTAAATCTAAAAGTGGACAGTTTTAAAAACTATTGATTTATCTATATATATATAAAAAAACTAGTCGACTCAAGGTGGTTAAAATGAATCATCTTCATAACGAGTATTTAGCCGTTTCGGCGTGACGTGACTACGAATAATAATTGTTGCGCGCGCAAATTCATGAACATTTCATTGTGTTTTGTTACTTGTAACCGCTTGTATTGTATCAGGTTAACTCTTTATATTCTCATATCGTGTCTAATGCCATGTTAAAACATGACGCGTGCTGCTTTGCTAACGGATTTCAATGAGTTTATGAGCTCGTGCTCCACTGTCGTTGAAATGGCCACCGTCAGCTGTTCCTACACACGTGCAGCAGTCAAGGTTCAGAATAGTTCAGCTTTTGCTGCTGTGTGGATTAATACTGAATGTGTGTCATGGTTAAGAATGGAGCAATATGCTGGTGTTTGACTACACTGCTTTTGGTGGTAAGGTGTCTGAATAACACTGTTGAGTAAGTTTTACTATGAAGCGTGTTTCGGGCTGCGATCAGATCCTATACCAATGTTGGGGACCCAGGGGCTTGACAAACCCCACTGGGCATTTGTCTCACGCTGAACGCTGTCGACCAATCACATCAGGCTGTCATCGGTCCAATCAGCGCAGATTAGCCTTGTGCTAAGGAGGAGTTCGGGAAGAAATGAATCACTGGACGATTCATAAGGGAGTCGCTGGGATAATCAGGTAAAAATAAATGCAGTTTATAAGACCATCAAAGAGTTTTTTGACCTTGCATGGATATCAGCCTATTGTTAGAGATCTATATAACCAAAAAATGACCCTTTTTCATGTATAATACGGGCTCTTTAATGTGATATTACAGTTTGTGCATGTGTCTTTGAGCTGTTGAGTGTGTTACCTGTGATGGGTGGTGTGTTGTGGACAGACTTGGGCTCTTCACACACACTATTCTGGAGTAAAGTTACAGCGCTGCAGTTTCCCACCCGCTTCAGACCCTCCAGCAGCTCCAGCACCGTCCCTCCAGACACCTGCAGGACACATCACTCTGACTTCAGCTGTATTTGAGCACTATTAATGGTTTATATTAACCTCCTAGGGCTTGAGTGGCCACATACCTGGGGCCTCAAGTGCGAAGACTTGCGTGAAAATCATACTAAAACATTGCGTAAATGTGCGTACACAGAAACAAATTCAGATGTATGAAACACTGCGTACGCCGAATCTCACGCATATTCTTTTGTACATCCGAATGAACGTGAAACTGAGAGCAACATGCACGAGCGCAAAGCCCCTCCCTGCCTCCGCCCCCGTATGAATATACTAATGACTCTACTTTGGCAAAACCCAACGAAAAAGCAACGGCAAAAGCAAGAAGAGAAACTTTGAACAGAATGTGAATTGGAGGGGCTTCTTTCAGAGGTAGATCGGAGAAACACTGTGTTATTTGCAAGTTTGTCCACCGGAATTAAATCTGAACATCGCACTGAGTGGATTAAAAAAGAAATAGTGAGATGTATATCTGCAAAATGTTGTAATAACCTCAACAGTCTTAGTGGCGCAGCTCGTAAAACGCATGTCTACATGTTTTGACACGTTCAAGCATGAACTCGGTTCGAATCCAGCGTCTGATGAACTCTTTCTTCTTTTTTCCCCCGCTACATATCAGATTTTGCCTACTCTTCATCATGAGGAAGACAAGTAGGAATCCTTAATAAGTCTGTGCATCATATTTTATTTGCACATTTATTGAATGGAAATGTTTCTGATGTGCAAATTCATCTTCAGATAGTGTCTTTATAGCAATGTGCGTGCAGTAGATAGCTCAGATTACATTGGGGAAACAGGCGACCGCTGCAAATTGTGCTTTAATGTTTGGCTGGTCAACTGTATGATATGGAAACCTTATATACCTGCTAGATGAACCCGTCACATACAGCTGCCATTGCAAGGCTCAAAGACACTTGCTAGAGAGCAATTTAACACAACTGCCTCTAGGAGTCGCCAATGGAAATAAAACAGACACACAAAAAATGTGCGTACGCCAGCCATGAAGTTGGCGTGGAGCTGCGCACATTCCCATGTTCAGTTGATCGTTATTAAATCTAAACGTGAGCCATTCAGAGCGTGAAACCTGGCGTATGCAAAGTTTTTGTTGATACATGAGGCCCCTGGACAGCACATTTGAGCTCTTAAGTGTTTATTTAAAATACTTTGAATGTTTTATATTGTTACAGACACGCAGTGTCATCCTGCAACTGTTTTGCAGCATACGAAATGTCCCAAACCCTATTTTAACTGTCCAAAATGGGGAAAAATTTAGTTTTTACTGTCTGATAGTCAAAACATGTTAAAAAAAACTGTTCTATGTTAAATATGCATAAAAAACAGTCAGGAAAAAGTGTTTTATGTAAATTGGGACCATGAGTCCACATATATGGGCATCATTCATCTCTAAAAGTACATCATATCAAAAGATGATACCAAGGTTTTAATTCTAACTAGCGAAAGAGAAATACAAAATGCATGTAAAAAACACACCTTGGGCCCTAAATCAAATGATGGCTCTTAGGGTGTTTTCACACCTGCCTTATTTAGTTGGATTGAATCGCACTAGAGTTGGTTTCCCCTTTTGGTGCGGTTGGTTTGGGCAGGTGAGAATGCAGCAATCGTACTCGAGTGCGCACCAAAAGCGGACCAAATAAGCGTACCGAGACCTGCTTGAAGAGGTGGTCTCGGTTCGCTTTCAAACAAACCCTGGAGCGGTTCGTCTGTGGTGAGAATATGATCTGTACTTAAACAGGTCCAACCGCAAAAAGTACTGCGCCTTTTGGACTAATCCAGCTGCCGTAGGCCGATGCGCTGTGCATTATGGGATATGGAGGAAAAACATTTGTTGACAGCGCTTTACCAACAGAGAGAGAGAGAGAGAGAGAGAGAGGGAAAACATTAGCTGACGGATCGTTGGTAATATTTCCGCAAGATGAGCATGTCGCAGTTTAGCTAAATTAATTGACGCCTCCTCCTGAAGTGACGAGCGATGCATTAAAACATTTGTTTTTCTGCTACGGCCGCGCTTCATTCATGAAATGTATAGTTTGTCTAAAGCAGGCATACAATCAGTCAGCGCAGTCGCCCCTCCAGGGTAAAGACATTTTGTGTCTGCCGGTTTTGTTTACTTGCGGGAGTTCACTGGCATTTTCCCGCATGTGAATTCTGACCAATCAATAAGCAGTTTAGGAAATATGTTCAACCACATCTGGCCAATGAGAGATGTGGATTTTGTCACATGACTGCATTTTGGTTCGTTTCAACTGGTTCGGACCAACGCCAGCAGTGTGGTGTGAAAACGACCCAAAGACGTCAGAACATGCAACAATGCATCATTCATTGCCCTTGGTGCGGACCAAATGAAGTGAACTACAGATGTGAACGCACCCTTACACTGACCAATCCACTCCTCACATGCTGCGTTCATTTTGGAGACTTCAGTGATTTGCTAATCACAACATGTCGAGTGGTGTTTATGAATGTGTCTGCATGTGGTGTGAGAGCGTGACCTGACGGACCTCATAGCTGTCCAGCAGTTTGCCAGCAGGACAGGAGCTCAGTCTGAAGGCGCTGTTGAGGATCCCGAGACCCAGAACATCAGCCAGAGTCTCCCAGCCGCCCGCGGGACCGTCCAGAGCAGAGCACAGGTCCTGCTTCACCGACGAGCTCAAGCTCTGCATGTCTCCTGAACACACACACACACACACACACACCAAACGTACACGGACACACAAAGGCGCACACGTGCACAAGGACAAAGGCAAATGCACACATACACAGAGCAAAACACAAACGCAAACACACAAAACAAACGACAACAAATCAGTTCTGTTTCTGCCTCAGCTTGAAAATGATCTAATAGTCGTTGCAGTATTTGCAGACGCTGCTATTTTACATTGGTTTCCTTTTAGTATATATATATTCATACCTTGTGGTGGAACAACAATGGTGGAGGGCTGATACTCTTCTCCATTCAGAATATTATACACCTGAACACACACACACACATAAGCAATAACACAATAGGTTACAAACACACGCACACAAACAAACACACACACACACACACACAAATACAAAGACATATGCACACACCTCTGGAGAGACAGCCAAGCTCAAAGGACTGGATCCAGGAATAAACCCTTCATCATCTTCATCCTCCTCCTCTTCATCTCTGAAGAACAGCGGCTCGCAGTTCTCCTTATGAGGATCTGCTCCTGAGGACAGCACAGGATCCTCAGCGGTGGGGAATTACTGATTACTTCTCACATATCGGTGTGCATGTAAACACCCGGGATCAGCTGTACAGTAGGTGAAAGGCTTTCTATGCACATGCATCAATCTGTTCTCAGCAGCGTTGTTTCGGTTGCAGAATAACAAACTTGTTTGTGCAGAAGAAGCCAAATGTGAATAAGGCCTGACGTCTTTATTCTGAGATGACCACCCTCCATTAATATACTTGCATAAAGTAAATCTCATCTCAAAGCTTTTACTGGGGCACTTTTTTTTTTTTGCACCGTCTCCCCAGCAAGATGACGCCCTGTGCGATCGCCCATATTGCCTAAATCCACCACTGTGCGCACGTACATCTTTTTCATGCACAGCTTTGCATTTCCATTAAGCATTTTATTATGAGATATTCCAAAATGTGCATTAAATCAGGTGGATGGAAGCATGGCTAACAGCATTCGGTAATGTAGAGTTTTACCTGCGGCCATCAGGAGCGCGCTCAGTTTAGTAGAGCCCCGTCCGGCAGCGATGTGTAGAGCAGTAGAGCCGTTATAGGTCACACTGTCCACATATGCATTACCCTACGCACACACACACACAAGCACATGATCAATCAGCGCATGAACACAACACTACTGCTTTCTGCTGCAGAGAAATTAAAGGGTCAGTTCACCAAAAATAAAATTACCTCACTATTTACCCTCAAGTGGTACCATTATGACTTTCCTTCATCTGTTGAACACTAAAGAAGATATTTTGAAGGATGATGGAAACCGGTAACCATTGACATCCATTGTAACAAATACAATAAAAGTAAATGGTTACAACATTTTTCGAAATATCTTCTTTTGTGTTCAACAGATGAAAGAAACTCATAAAGGTTTGACACAAGTGTATGATGAGTAACTGATGACAGAGTGTTCATTTATGGGTGCACTGTCCCTTTAAGAGCTCTGATACTAATGCATTATTGCCATAAATACACCTGCGCAACATATAACTGGTTTTGGGCTCCAGGATGACGTTCAGTAAAGCCTGAAATTATTCATACCTCTGACTTTTATTCCACCAGCAATTTTATTTTGACCAGAAATGACACAGACCTCCCCCAAGACATAATAAGATGATGTACAAGATGCTTCATTGTGGAAAGAAAATTTGGGGTATGAATATTTTCAGGCTTGACTCTAAACCTCAACGGGACTTTCTGGTTAATCAACGGCTTTAAAATAAATCTTGAGGATCCTCAGTGTTATATAAAAGCTGCTGTGGTACCTCCAGCAGCAGGCAGCCGGCCAGCGACAGGTTGCCCAGCTCAGTGGCCAGATGGAGGGCAGTGCGGCCGCTGGAGAGCTCCTGGAGCTCCACATCCACACCCGCATCCAGCAGAGCACGCACACACACCAGACTGTTGGAGAGCACAGCCAGATGGAGAGGACACAGACCTGCAAACACACACACACACAGACATACACACATAAATACATATGCACATACATACATAGACAAACATACACACAGACATACTTACACTCACACACGCACAAATAAATACACAATACACACATACATACAGACATAGACATACATACACACACACACACACACACGCACACAAATAAATACACAACACACATACATACAGACATACACACACACACACACACCCACACACAGCAAACACACACACACAAATAAATACACAATACACACATACATAGACACACACACACACACACACCCACACACAGCAAACACACACACACAAATAAATACACAATACACACATACATAGACACACACACACACACACACACACACACACAAACAAACACAAAAACACACAAACACACACAACAAACACACACACACACAAATAAATATACAATACACACTCACATACATACAGACATAGACAAACATACACACAAACAAACACACAAATAAATACACAACACATATACACATACATACATACAAAGACACACACAATCACACACACTCACAAATAAATACACAACACA